GGGGGGGAGGGGGAGGGGAGGGGAGTGGGGAGGGCCGGGCGGGGGCGAGTTCCTGGTACTGGGCAGAGCGGCCCGCAGAATCTTTTCTGATTTCCCTCCACCTGTCTCGGGCATTGAGAGCCAACCCTCGGGTAAAGGACCCTAACATTTCAACAGCCTTCAGCCAAAGTGTGCAACTCCAGCTGGGGGTGGGGGTGGGGGCGACTGTTGCCAGGAAAATCAATGCCGCTCCAGTGCTGAGAGCGGTCTTACGAATAAGAACGAGGTCCACCTCGGACCCAACAGAGTAGTTTGAATAACGAGATTTTCCCATTTGTGGGGCCACTTTGCTTTGTCCCAGGAACTGCTAATAGGGGTGCGGGCTCTGATCCTCGCTGGGATAGTGTGAGGGTCCAGCAGAGAGCCCAAGGCTTCACGGGGCTGCCCATCCAAGACAGGCCACCTAGGGACAATGGCGTGGGAATTGGCGTCAGCCTTTGGCAAGGGAGGTGGGGTTGGGGAGAGGCAGATCAGAGTCAGGTAACCAATCTCTGGGTACATTCCATAGGAAAAGGAGCCCTGGCTTTTTTCAATAGAGAAGGAAAAATGATTAGGACCGTAAGATAAACCTTCTTTCAGCTCCTACTTTCAGATGAGAGGCTGGTCACAGAGGGTGGGGGCAGTCTGTTAGGGGTGAGGTGACCAGTTGGGGACATTGAAGGATGAGGAGCAAATGATTTTGGCAATCAGTGACAAGCAACGACAATCCTTTCAACATGATCCGCCCCCGCACCCCCCAACCCCCGCATCATGTGCACCTCAAAGAAGCAATGGACAGGGTGTACTTTCCAAAATACTGCCATTTACTTCTGAAAAACACAAATGCTAAAGGCCCAGAGCAGCCCATGTGATTGGATTGCCTGCGACCTGCCTTGGGCCCCAGAAGAACCTGGCAAGGTCAGGCTCCTCCCTGCTCTGCCTGGGAGAGGCCTGGAGAGCTTCCTTATCGTGCTGACTGCTCTGGGAGCAAGATTTCTGCCTTGAAAGCAAATGCAGCAGCCGCAGAAATGTACAGTGCATACCTTTCTCACCCCTCTCCCCACCCCTGGTGAACAGAGCTGGAGTAAAGGTGCCTCTAGGTCATAATCTGCACGTCTCCTGCCCTCTTCCCATTGTTGGGGTCAGGGCTTTGGGAGACATGTGACCTTGGCCCCATGTAAACTCCTTTAGCATGTAAACTCCTTGCTGCCCGTCTCCCCACCCCAAGCCCTCACCCACATAACCTTGTTTTGCATACAATGCGTTGATTTTCCCAGAAATGGATGACCTCTCACTCCCTAACCTGGCTCAGTACGAAGGGAGATAAAGCAGTTTGGGCCCTAATGTCCGTCTGAGAAGAAAAGGATGTGGCTGATGGGGGAGGAGATGGCCCTTGGGTTTAGGGGTTACACAATGGGGTGAGGTTTGCTCACTCCTACCTCCCACCTACTCCAGGAGTCAGGGCTTTCTTTTTATCTGGCTCTTTATCCAGTGGAAGCACTACAGCTGCTTGAAGAAGCAGCCTGTGGGCTGCATACCTGCCAAAGGATTGGAACAGAAGAATAACCTTTCCCTATCAGTAACTGTAGGTGTCTGGGGACACAGGCAGAAAGGTAGGAAGATAAGGCCAGGGATTCAGGGAGGAGGGGCTCCCCTGGGATCTGAGGTCCAGCGAATAGGAACCAGATGTTTCCAGGTGCCCTAATGTGCTCTTGGGCTGGGGGGAATGGGGTGCACCTCCCAGAGAGGGGCTAGTAAGGCCAGAGGTAGCCTAACAGACAGACCTAATCTCTGTTACTCCTCTCTCCTCCTCCCCCCAGGGAGCTGGGTCCCTGCCCAATCTCCACATCTCTTATCTTCCTGAGGCTTTGGTCTAGCTCCCGGCACAAGGGCCCTGTCTTATTGGGGAAGATTGTTCTCTGGGGAGCTGGAGGAAATGAAGGCCTGGGTCTGCTCAGCTTCTTGCCAGCTGAAGGGTGGGAATGGGGTCACTACCTGCCTCATACCCCAGAAGTGCATCAGTGCCCCCTGGTGCTGAGCTGGCGCAATATCACCCTCATCGTGGGTAGGTGGGAGGCCCAGTCCCCTGAGTCCTAGCACTAGAAGGCAAAAGGGGCACCAGCTCCCTTCCTCTGTTTTCTGGTGCCCTTTTGATTAGATTATGTATAATTAAAATGAAATAAAAATATTTTACCCTCCTCCGGGGATGCAGGGAAGCTACAGGAGCTAGAATAGGGGCAGGAGTACAGAGGGGCTGTGCACTGGGTCCCCCAACTCTCTCCTCATTGGCTCAGCTGCTTAGAATAAACCGGGTCTGAGGGAGAAGGCTGCATCCTTGTGCGTCTCTGGAGCGTCCTCTCAGCCCCTTGGGATTCACAAAAAAGAGCAGCAGCTGGGCCGCTTCTTCTGGGATTCCACATAGTCTCGGATCTGGAAGCTGGGCTCATTAGCCTGCCGCCCGGCTCTGTATTTCAGCTCCCTTGAAGAGGAGGAAGAAATGGGCTGGCAGGCAGTGAGGGACTGAGCCTTCTCCCACTCCCACGGCCCGGGGCCAGGGGGCCTCCGAATGCAGAATATAGTTGGGACCGGGGACTGGGCCAAGGGCCAGGCCCTACTGAATTCCCAGATGGTGCCACCCTGCCCTGCACGTTCCCTTCCCGGCTCAGCGCTCACTTGGCAATGGCCAGAAAGGCTAACTCCACGTTCATGCCCGTCTTGGCGCTGGTCTCCATGAAGGGAACTCCATACTCCTGCCAGAGGGTGAGATTATGCTCAGTGGCCAGTCTCCGGCTGCCCCCACCCGCCCTCCCCCCAGGCAGTCACTTACCCTGGCCAGCATCTCTCCATCCTCTGAACGGATCATCCTTTCACTGCTCACATCCGCCTGTCAAGCCCAGGTGGGTCACTCTGGGGAAGGAAGCCTCGACCCCAGATGGCCCCTCTCCTGCCCCGCTGGCCCAGCTTTCTGCCCTGGGAGCAGGCACTTCCCGCCCTCTGCTGGTAGCCTGCGGGACTGCGGGTGGTATGATCCACCTGGGGCCAGGGCTTCTGCCTTCTTCAAGTTCTTACCCAGCTCCCAGCAGGGGAATCTCACCCCAACTCAGGGAGGTGGGTAACTCTGCTTGGCAAGGGGGTGGTGGCCAGCCTCGAAGGGCTGACAGTATTTGAGGTTAACCCTTTCCACACACAGCTCTTAATCCGTGTATCTAGTCCCTAGGATCTAATAGGGGCTGAGCAGCTGGTCATCCCTGGATCTCTCAGGAAGCAGCTTGACCTTTCCCTGCAGGGGGCCATTTCCAAAGCTTTAAGAGGGCAGATATGATGGGCTGAAGCCTCCAGATAGGTCTGACTCCTGAACCGGAGGCTGTAAAGAGTGCTTTGCTGGAAGGATGTCCAGCTAATACTCTTGTGGCAGTGGGAGAAGGGTGGGCTGACCCTGCCCTGGAGCCACTCACCTTGTTGCCTAGGAGCATGATCACCACATCCCTCTGGGCGTACTCGTGAATCTCAGTGAGCCAGGCCTGTGGGAGGGGGTGCGCTGAGCCCCAGCCGTTCCCCTCCTCCCTCCTGCCTTTCCTTCTTCTGCCCTGTGGATTATCCTAGACTACTCACTGCCCCGAACACCGATCATAATGCCCTGTGCATTCTCTCATCTACATCTTTGTTTGGGCCTCTCCAGTCCTGAGTAGCTCTAAACCCCTTGCAGTGTAGCTCTCAGTTCTATGAAAGACAGAGGTGACAGAGGCTTTATCTCATAAATCAGCTGGTAGTCACCAGCAGTCTCCTCCAGTGCCCTGTTGAGGATTCTAAGGCCCCATAAGGGCTCAGTGATCAAAAATACTGTGATTGATTAGTGATGTCTGCCATGAGCATGGGGTTGGAGGTGGCAGGAGGAGTGCCATGGATTCCATCCAGGTTATAAGCAGTTTTATGTATATATACATCTGTATATATATATATATATACATACATCTGTATGTCTTGTTCCCCCAGTTTGCTTGTCAACCCCTTGAGGTCAGGGAGCATGTGAAATCGTCACCATGCTGTGCACAGAGTCAGTGTTTGTATTTGTTGAATTACTGTCTCGACTATTTGTTTGCTTGTGAGGATGGAGCCACTCATTTTGTCTGCCTGAGTCACCTTCTTGAAAGTTGGGGTGGATGTATGGGTAGACTTTTCTGCTTGGGCTCTCCCCTTGGTCTCTGTGGGTAATTGTCCGGGGTGGAGCTGGGCACTTTCTGAACATTTTGTCATGAAATGCTCCATGAATCACAGTCAGGGATGAGCAGGTGGCACACAGCCTGCTTGGCCTTTTTGCCCACATGCCCATCAACTACCCAGGAGTAGTTTATTACTTCTGAGTCACAGCTCCGGTGTTTTTAACGAGGCAGCAGTATTCCATGCTCCACCCATTCCCACAAAGCAGGAAGCAGCCCTGGCCTGCACAGGCCCTGCCCTGCCTGCTCGTGAGTGGTGGGTGGGGAGGACCTACCCGGATGTTGTCGAAGGAAGATTTGTTGGTGATGTCATACAGCAGGAGCAAGGCTGGAGGGGGAGAGAGAGGTCACACGGGGAACTTGGGGCAGAAGGGTGGATGTTACAAGTGGGCTGGTGGGGCGGTGGAGGTGGAGCACGTGAGGGACCTACCCTGGGCATCTCGGTAATAAGCGTGGGTGACACTGCGGAACCGCTCCTGCCCTGCGGTGTCCCAGATCTAGGAAGGGATGGACAAATGGTCAGAAGGGGGCAGGGACTGTGCTGGGCAGAGGAAAGCCATGTTGTGGTACGAGGGATGGGCGGGGAGGTGAGATGTTTCCTTCTTTAGTTTCTCATGGGCTTGTGAACATCTGATGATGTCCCGGATGGCAGTAGTTAATGAGTTCTCAAGCTCGTTCGGTGCTGTTGCCTCTGGCCCAGCCCAGGGATTAGAGGTGTCCAACCTCCTAGAGCAGATGAGGCCTGGGAAACTGGGGACGATTTGGAGCGAGCCTAAGCTTGTCCGAAAGCACTTAGAGCTGCTGCCTTTGACAGAAGGGAGGGTGCCTGGGAACGGCTTTTTCTGCAGACATCAAACAAACAAAAGCCGTTTCCTCTCCTGGCCCCCACAGGAAGTTAGCCCAGGCTGAGCGCAGGGCCGCAGGCCTCCTGTGGTTGGGTGCGGAGGTTGGGCAGGCTCCCCCATCCTCTTGCCCACACCCCAGCCCTCCCAGCCGCTGGTCTCACCTGCAGCTTCACCCTCATACCATCCACGGTCACCACCTTGTTCTGAAAGAGAAAAGGGCAGAGGGAGAGGTGGGCGTGGAGGGCAGGGGAGTCTCGGTTTCTGCTTTCTGCTGAATCCTTCAGAACAGCAAACATCCTGTCTGGTTGCTCCCCAGGGCCACGGGGGTCCGGTGAGCCCCGGAGACGTCTCCAGCCAGATCGCCCCATCAGGGCAGTGGGACTCTGTCCCCAGGTACCCCTACTTTGGAGTCATCTCTTCTGGGGACTCCGTCTGCCCTTCTCACAACACGCCAAGGCAGGGAGAGCCTGAGAACCTGCCTGACCGCACCCCTCCTCTCGCCCCGGCCCGGGCTCAGCAAGGTGCACAGGCGGAGCCCAGCCTCCAAGCTCTTAGAGGTGAGACGCCCACCAGCATCTCGGGGACCGCAGAGGCTGGATCTGCAGGGCCGTCTTTCCCCTGGCTGTCCACTAGTTCTCCTCAGTGAAGCTTCCCCTCGCACTGAGAGGGAGGCACCTGGCCTTTGAGAGCACCCCTGCCAGGGTTAGACCCTCACTCTCCTGGCCCCTGCGCGTGTGCAGTGCTCAGAGCCCTCGGCATCCGGGATGCCCATTTGTAAAGATGGGTTCATCGAGGTGAGAGGGAGGGATGCTGGCAAGCTGCTCTCTCCCCACAGGGCTAGCCCAGTTCCTCCACCTAGTGCCGTGCTGGGCTTCCCGGGACTCGAGAAAGACTGGCTGACCTCAGGTCTTGCCGGGGGGCCCAGCTAGCACTGTGGGATATATCTGCCCGGCTGGGGGCAGGATTTTAAGACTCAGTCTCTCATTTCTGAGCGCCTCCCCAAGCCCAGACTCCTCTAAGCTGGCCACCTCTGGGGTCCCTAGGGGAGCATCCTGTGCCCTAGGGTGAGCCACAGCAGTCCTGAGAAGCCAGCGCAGGTGAGGAGAGGACCGTGTCCCGTGCCTGAGCCATAGCTCCTGGCTCGCTGCTGGAGGAGGAGCCTGCAGCCACCTCACCCTGAAGTCTATGCCGACAGTGGCTATGAAGGTCCCGGACAGGAAGGCCCCATCTTTGAATTGGATCAGGAAACAGGTTTTGCCGACGCCTGAGTCTCCCAGAAGCATCACCTAGGAGATGGGGGCAGAGGCAGTTAGTGGGGAGCTGGGCTTCCAGGGAGAGCCAGGGAAGGATGCCGACTGCCCCGAGGGCACCTGCTTCTGGAAAAGCCTGCTGCTGCCTTCACCCTGCCTCTCCTCTCCACACTCCCTGGCTCCGGCTGCCTCTCAGGCTCTCCCTCTGACCCTCCTGTCCTCATCTGGTTTCCTGGAAGCCTGAGTTGCCAACTTAGCACTAATAGGAGCTCAAACGTGCTTGGTGGCCCCAGAGAACAACCACATTCATGTGGTCTCGACTCTGCACCGTGCTCGGATCCCTTCCCTCTCTGTGTGTGTTCCACGCATGTGTGCACACGTGGGCGGGGCTATGGTGCCAGAAAGAGAAGTGTTAATACCTCGGACAGGGATTCCCACCCAAGGGAGTGTATCAGAATCTGATGGGGGCACGGCTCTGTCATTTGCAAAGCCATATTCTAAACTTACTTTTGTTCGGGTGTTTTACTTTTGGTTACATTTATTTGGAAGTTCCTAATGACATTTTATGTTTATAAAAGCCTTGCATGAATTAGGGAAGGTTGAAATTTATACTGAAGCGGAAAGACATTTAGTCTGAAGTTCGTTCCGCAGAAACCTCCCACGTGGGACAAATGGCTGAAAATTGGCATCCCTGGTCACTGTAGGTGGCAGAGCAGGAGGGAGTGTGTGTGGGGGTATGTTTGTCCCTTTCCTGTCTGTCCAGTCTCTGCTCATCTTCTCTGGGGACCATGGGCGGGGGAGGGGACCCCTCTGTCCAGTCACTCCTCAATCTTGGAGAACAGAGGTCCAGACCTAATGCTGGAACTTTCCCAACAGGCCGAGTTGATACTTAATGGGCTGAGCAGGGACTAGGTTTGAGTTGTTTTTGAGGCTCTGACCTTGACAACGGAGCCCAAGGGCTTTCCTGCTGTGGGCATGGGGTATGGGATTAGCTAACTTTGGTGGAGAGGTGGGGGGCTGAGCCAAAGGTGTATGAAGGCTGGGGTCCTGGCTTGTACGTGGGTTACTGGGGGACTTCGGGAAGATTTCTTAACCCTTCTGTGGCAGTTTCCACAGTGGTTAGAAGGAAAGAGGGATAATTTCTTTGAGGCCTTTCTAGACTCCGTTAATGTCTAGGGTCAACAATGCTGGCATGAACCACCTGACTCCAGAAGAGTGGCCCGGGGTGGCTGCTGCCTGCCTGTGGCCCCATCCCCTCTAATCCTCCCCAAGGAGCTCCCACCAGGCTCTTCCCAGACCATCCTGGACTCAGTCTCCTAGGCAGGCCTCGGGCACGAAGGCTGGTGGGGGCCAGAGGCCAACTCTCCACAGATGCCACTTGGCCCAGGGGACAGATGGCAGGCTGGGGACTAAGGAGCCCTCTGGAGCCTGCATTGCTCCCTGGCTCCTAGGTCCCAGTACCCGATGGGGAAGGAGGGAGAGAGGGAGGTAGGGCAAGCACCTGTGTACTTTACAGTTGATGGCTGCCTTGAGCAAATGATGCTACCCACCCAGCCAGGCAAGTCCACCAAACAAACAGCTGCCCAGCCTTGCCACCTCCTAGGCAAACACCCAGCTGGCTTGTCAGGCAAGGAGTACAGGCAGTTCCCAGCGGTCTAGGGCTGCCCCTCAGCAGCTCCCCTCCCCTGAACACAGTGGGGGCCGACTTCCTGCCTGGAGCCCACAGAGGACGCTTATCGCAACGGCTCTGGGTGGGTGACTTGCAGAGTAGCTTCCCCTGAAACAAGGGGGGGTTGCAGGAGGAATCCAAGGTGCAGAAAGAGGCAGGTCTCCTTCAAGGCCATGTAGCATGAAATGGGCGGCCCCTTCGCTAATCTATCCCCAACCCTACAGAGGAAGAGTGGAGGCTCTGGGCTCTCTCAGCACCTCTTTCAGAGTTCCTGGTACCTGCCTGCTCCAAGGGCATGGAGGGAGGGCAGACAGACCAGTGTCCACCACCAGCCCCACCTGCTTCCGTTCAGGGCCACCCGCAGAGGGAACCAGCCCCAGACAGCTGACTTAAGCTCTCCCAGGTGGGAGACTTGTGCCTAATGCCCCAGATCTTTCTCAGGTTCTAAAAATTCCCATGCGGGGCTGCATTCTGGCTAGCAACATCCTCCCAGAAGAAGGTGTGGGCAGTGACTGCAGGGGTGGAAAGGGAAGGGGTAGCGCCTGGGGGCAGCTGGGGTCCTAAAGATCTTCAGTCCTAAGGCCTGGAAACTGGGAGAAGGGCATTAACTGCAAGTTCCCCCGCCGCCAGGGGGCGTCCTTTCTGAGTCGCCAGGCAGCCCTATTTCCCAGCGCTTCGGGTGCCTGTACCCTGGAGGGCTGTGCGCTCAAACCCTACCTAGAAGCATGGGATTCCTGGGGCTCGTACTGGCCGGCGTGTGGCAGAAGAAAATGGGGTTGGGGTCCTCTGGGTGGGGAGTCGCTCGCTCCTTCCGACATTCCTCTCCCTTCTCCCACGGAGCCAGCCCAGATCCCTGGATGCTGGCGTGGGCCCAGGGCTGTCTCGACCCTCCTTCCTTATTCTGGGAGACCCGGCTGCCTGGGGGGAAGGGATGAGTCCAACGCAGACGCAGCCAGCAAGGGTCTTGGGCGGGGAGGGCCGGGGTCTCAGGGCGAAGAGCGCGGGGAGGGGTGACCCCCAGAGCCGGCACCGAGTCCCCAGAGCTGGGTGCAGTGCCCACCCACCTTGCCCATAAGATCGTAGCTCGGACTGCAGGGTGGGGAGCGCTCGGGGGCCTCGCCGTTCCGGGTGGCAGCGGCGCCAGGCGTGCCCGTCATGTCCCTGGACCAGAGGTGAGCTGGGGCGGGCGGCGGGCGAGGGACGGCACAGGAACCGCCTCGCCTTAGGCTCCACCCACTCCTCCCCTCCACCGCCCCGGCCCGGACCCCGACAGGCTCCTCCCTCCGTCCGCCACCTGAAAGACACTGGCGGGGAGCGGGCTGTCCCGCGGGGGCGCGCAGGACCGCAGGGTCAGCTCCCGAGGGGCAGGAGTGCCCCCGTGCGCCACACTGGCCTGAGAGCGTGGGCCAAATCCAGCCCTAGGACCGACCGGTCCCCAGGGTTGCCAGCTGCCGGGGTTAGGTTCCCACCGGGAGCTGTCCCTGGAGACCCCGCCTTCAGGGGAAGGTCTGGCCTCGCTGGGACCCGCGGACCCGCGCCCGGGTTGCCACTGCGCAGCGTGGCCAGGAGGCGGCGCCCGGGCTCCATCCGGCTGGCGGGCAACAGGTGGCTCCGGGAGCGGGGGCGGGGAAGGCTGGAGACGCCCCTGGGCAGCGCGGCTCGGGGTTCACGAGGAGGCGTGCGTTCCGAGCGCAGCTCTCAGGCAGTTTCGCTTTTGCTAATGCACCCCAGCTCGACATCATCTGAATGTAATTGTGTTTACCGACCGATGGATATTCACCTTGCAGCACATTTGCACTTCGGGGCCCCTGGCCGGTGCTTGGACTCTGACACCTCCCATTTCCGCCTGCCCTGTTGGGCTGCGCCCAGAATGTGCCCACCCCGGAGAGCCTTCCGAGGTGGGCTTCCCTGCACACCTCCCAATCCAGGCGCTCCCGAAGGCAGAGCTGACCCCTGGCACCGAGTAGGCCTTAAACGTTTGGTATCAAAAGAATTCATGAAGTCCTGAATCTTTTTTTTTGGCTCCACTGCACTGGCACCTGGGATCTTAGTTCCCAGACCAGGGATCGAACTCACGCCCCCAGCAATGGAAGCGCAAAGTCTTAACCACTGGACCACCAGGGAAGTCCCTGTGGTGAATCATTTTGAGCAGAGTCTCCAGGACATCTAAGGAACACTGCAGCTCCTGGTGACAGAGGGTGAGAGTATGTCCGGAGTTGTCCATAGCGGAGTTCAGGGGCCCTGGCCTGGGCTAACCATTCAATTACGCTATCCCAACGTCTTA